CTGAAGTATAATGAAGGATTCCCTTTTTTGACTTAGGCGAGCAACTCCGGCAGATAGGGTTTGCGTGAAGAGATAACGAAAGGTCTAGGAATTGTAACTTTCCGTCCAAAGGTCTTTTTCAACTGTGAACTTAAGACCAAAGCCGCATCTGGAAAATACGTTCAGAACCTTAACTACATAATCACCTTCAGCAGACTTGTGTATCCCAAGTCTTGAGGGCTGTTGCCTGGATGGCCATCTTCTCGAGCATGATCGTTCACTGAAATCTACGGTGGGCGGTCATCTTCCCGTACATTGCAATTCCTGCTCGTGTTCTCCAATCCTTAAAGAGATACTGAACCGAAATTTGGATTTCGCAAAACGAGTACACAGGAGCGTTGGACGGAACGCTACAAACTCTAAAACATCACTCATACATCGATATCTAAAAAGGATAGCCGTAGTTTTGGAAAAGAAGGGCGCGATCAAACGAGGATTATGACGTCATTGCGCTGCTGTAAAATGGGAGAGTGAGGGGAAGCGGTCTCGCTTCTCTCCTCCTCGCTTCGGTTCACCAGCTCGACGGGACGCAGCGTAGAGGAGAGGTAATAAGAATCGTGACGTGCCTCGTCTCGTCGGCCTCGTCGGCCGTGTTCAATCGCGCACTCCTTTTTTCAAAACTACGGCGATCCGTTAGAGGTAATGTTGTATGAGTGATGTTTTCCGGTTTCGCAGCGTTCCGCCAATCCGTCCAGCCCTGTTTTGTAAGCTTTAAAGTTCCGTTTAGTATCCCTTTAAAAGCAAAACAAAAATTGGACATAATCGAGACAAGACGACACGGGAAATTTTGAAAGCGGATTGCATTAATAGCTTGGGGGACAGCTGCATTAGTCACCCAACAAAGAGAAACCATGTGTTTAGATCGGACTATGGAGAAATGACATCTTATTTAGATGGTGTCGTGTCGTCTGTGACACGCTCTGGCACTGCATGACTTTCAGCACATTCTCTTCTTCCTTTTGTGTATAAACTCAGTTGCCAGTCAGCGCTTGTGTGTCGTGCATGTTCCTTTTCTCTGTCCTTGTATTTTTGTGGGCTGTTCTGTGCAGTATGTCATCATACCAACTAGCCCAGCTCACCACACTTCGTAGTTTGAGCATAGTTTGCCATATTGTGAACTAACAACCGAAAATAGGTTTATAGTGCAGGGAGGTGACTAAGGGTGACTGAAGCACTTCGGATTCAAAAGAGCGACGTACCCGGGTTTGGGGTTTTAGTAGAGCACATTCAAGAATCCTGAAGCAAAACTGCTTCATACGAAAAGAACAAGAAACGAACTACTTTGTTTCGAAATCGATCGTTAGTCAAATCTGCTGGAGGCAGGCTTGATTTAGATCCAACAAATACCTTCATGGGCTGTTTCATCACAGGAACAGCGTTCCTGAATAAGCCTGAGTTCTGTCAACAATACTATGTTCGATGAACGGAATCGATTCGAATTCGAAACTTCAATATTCGCGCACCCTTATATTTGAGTTAATTAGCCAACTTTCTATGAGGATTATCTCCTCACCTAATGTATGCGAAGTCTGATATGCAGGGTGTTTCGCGAAAAGTGGACAAATTCGATATTGCGAAAACTGTTCGTTGCAACGAAAAAAGGCTTATATCGTTGTGGTTCTAGGCCAGGGGCCTATTTAGGAAAAGGATTAAAGTCCGGGATAATTAGATTGTTACTTATTTGCGTGTAATTAACTTTTTTAGTATTGTGTTTAAGGGCATGGTTTCAATTAGTAAATTGCTCAGCATCATCGAAATACACTAAATCAATAAAATTGCAGAACGATAGAAGCCACGCGCAGCATTTTACGGCTTTCTGAAAAACCGCACAAATTCACCGGGTTTTTAAGTTTCGGATTGCAATCTGAGCGCATCTCGGCCCGACGGCACCGCGCCCCACGGAGAAATAGTGCAACCAACCTCTGCTGCGTTGTCCTCGCGCAACGCAGCAGAGGCTGGTTGCGCTATCTTTCCACGGGGCGTGGTGCCGTCGGGGCCGAGGTGCGCTCCGATTGCAAACCGAAACTTAAGAGAACTGTCTGTGTCTGTCCGTCGTATATTTGCTGTGTTTTATTCTTTCCGTGTGAACGAAACTTAAACACTCAATTTGTGCGCTTTTTCAGAAAGCCGTAAAATGCTGCGCGGCACGCGCAGCATTTTACCGCTTTCTATCGCTCTGCAATTTGTTGATTTTGTGTTTTTCGATGATGCTGAGACATTTTCTTATTAAAACCTTGCCCTTAAACACAATATTGAAAAAAGCTAATTCCGCAAAAATAATTAACAATCTAATTATCCCGGACTTCAATAATTTTCCTAAATAGCCCCCTGGCCCAGGACCAAAACGACACAAGCCTTCTTTTGTTGCGACGCGTAGTTTTCGCAATATCGAGTTTGTCCCGTTTTAGTGAAATACCCTGAACTTGGAACAACACCCGACCATCCCCCTCACCCCCCCCCCCCTTTTTTTCTTTCCCTAAGAAAAATGAAAATTGAAATAAAATCAAACACCCCACCCTGTATATGCGAACTGGAATGCAACATAAATACGAGCGTCTAATTTTTAAGTTTTAATAGTAATTGCCTAACCCCAACTTCATCATTTATGCTCACATTTTGAACCATGATTTTGGAAACCTCCCTTGCTTAAAAGAATGTCGGACCATTGACACAGAAAGCAACTTCATAAGTTTTTTTTTTTTTTTTTTTTTTTTTAGGGGCGAAGTTTCTTAGGGTCTAGCCTTGACCGTCCGTGCTCACATCAATCGTGCTCATGAGCTCACGTGCTCACATGCTCACGTGCTCGTGTAGGGCAAAAAAGAAAAATAAATTATGAAAAGAGAAAAATGTTTGCGCAGTCGACAGGATTCGAACCTGTGCGGGGAGACCCCAATGGATTTCTAGTCCATCGCCTTAACCACTCGGCCACGACTGCGTTTTTTTTTGTATTTATTTCATGAAAAAAGAGCAGTAAAAACAATCGAGACACATTCTAACAGAGCTATCCCTTATTTACATTCAAACTGGCTGATAATGGCCACATGGAAATACGAAGAAAGAGGGCTATGGTAACATATTGCGAATGGGGTCACATCTCTAAAAGTCGGGAAGATGAACACATTTGTCAAGAAGGGTATACCATTCTGGGCGTTTCTTGAGGTGGTCGTACACATTACGTACATGTGACACAGTTTCTATAAAATTGGACTTTGTAGACCGTGGAGGATCAGCATTTCTATCAATCATCCTTGTTTTCCAAAGGCTATGCAGACCCATCAATGTGAACAGGTCATAAGGAGAAGTATCATTTTGGTTTAAAGGCGTATCGTATATGCACAGATATTCAGATCTTTCTTCAATGTCCTTTGTAGGACATCCCAAAACAAATAGGCATCGGTGCAAAAAATAAAGCAATGTTCTATTGTTTCAGGCTAGTTGCACAATCGGCCACGACTGTGGGACGAATAGGGGATTCTGAGATGTGGTAGTAACTCAAGAGCTGGGGATGTCATGGATGAAACGTTGCATGTAGCCGCTTAACGTCTATACAGGAGAGGGTGCTGCGGTCAAATGCGTGTATAATCGCGTTAAACTTTGCATGCATTGGCTCAACGTTTATAGACGAAAGGGCGCTGCGGTCAAATTCTCAAATGCGTATATAAGCACGTTTCATACCACACATTCTCTTTCTGACATGGATGAAAACGAACGAAAGGCTCGACATGCTGCAGCTCAGCGTCTACACAGACAAGCACCACCAGAGATTCGCCCCAAATAACATCATTCACCACGTGGAGATGCGGTCAATTTTTTTAACTGTTAAAATACGGTGGATGGTTTTTTGGCCGTCCAGGTAGAGGTCACATCTAAGTTCGGTGCGGCCTCTGCCTGAATTTCAAAAAAACAATCCAACGCATAAAAAAAAGACGAATCATAAAAAGATCTGTTGTGCGCTGATGCCGCGGCATCCATCCTTTTTTTTTTAATATAATACTAAAGCATCAGAGAACACGGGCGCAAAAAGGACACAATCAAAACTCTCTATTTTCCTCTCTTCTGTGTATGTATTATCTGGCGTTTTAATACCATTGCTTTTTATACAAATAAAGCGAGTGGCTCTTTAACACTTATGCCCGTGTCCAACCAGAGCGACAGACAGAAACAAACGACAGCGACAAGCCTCAAACCAGAGTCATTTGCGATTTGAGAGGCTTTGCAGATTAAAGGAAGCTATGCTTAAACACGAGCATCATGCACGTGAGGGTATGTTTGGCAGGCTTGCGATCGCTCGTGCTTACTTCACGAGAACCAAACGACTAAACGCCTACCAAAAATACCATCGCGAGCATGCTGCATGGGTTTGAGGCTTGTCGCTGTTTTTTGTTTCTGTCTGTCGCTCTAGCGGGACAGGGGCATTAATGAAACAGAGCTCCTCTCCTTCTAAAGCGTTTTTTTTTTTCTGAAAACATAAATGAACCCTCCTCACCTGTAGACATATATATTCAAGGAACTGCCGTGACTTAAACGATGGCATTGAAATGAAACGTTTTTTTTTTTTCAATAGAGCTCTAAAGTGTACTTTATGCTCGTGGCCTTGTCTCACTGCAGCAAACAAAATAACAGTGCTTCTTCCGGACATATCAAAAAAACTTTTCATCAACTCTAATTTCAACCACACCACGTCTGTTTGTATACTAATTGTTTTGTCGGAGAGTGGTGGGATTCAGCCGCTGGAAACAATTCAGAATGTTGGTGAGCAGTATTCGTTGGACGTTCGTCTACTCCAAGAATCGATTAGAGCACTGTTGTAGTTTCAGAGCTTCTATTGATGCTGGTAATCTCACGCTGTGCAAACTTCAACTGCGAGCCGATTGAGGCTGGGCAACCCCTTGTATCGTCGCTGTTTTTGATGGCCTTGTCTCCGAGCGAAGAGGGAGCCAATGGTGACTTGTTTGTTGCAGTGATCCACAGCAACGACAGCGTGGTACTGCAGTGGAAGTCCTTCCGCGTCACCAAGAACCTGTCCCTGTCGCAGTTTAAGGTCCTGGACGGCGGTCATGGGGACTGCACGAAGAAATACGAAGTCGGTGCGTGACATCACTTTCTCGCCCTTTAACGAGTGCGCTGCTCGCAGCCGCCGATCTCGTCGCGTCTATTTAGCGTCCACCGAGACTTTTGTGACTGCAGCGTGCGTGTTGGATATCACTTGGAAGACAATGCTTGTTCCCCTCATTTTCCGAAGACATCAGTCTTCAGAAAAAGTGAAAGTAAGTTACGTTTGTCCGAGTAATCATTCTCCGCCGAAATGTAATAGCGTCAGCCATCCAAACCGGATACCAGAGTTTCAAAACTAAATGTTATCTCGCTAAGAAGTTATAAGTCAATTTGTGAAGGTGTGGATGTAAAAATGGCGGCCGACAGAACCCTCGAACGCATGGAGCTAAATGGCGCCAGCTACGATGTGCGGGCCCAATTTTCCTATGGGGCGCAAGTTCGTCTGCTTCATTTGCAGGTGTTGCGGTGACGTCAAAACTCCGAGCTCTGATCGGCTCCGATTGGAAGGATAGTGGGTAGACCTCAAGGCAGCTTGCATCGAGGTCTACCCGCTATCCTTCCAATCGAGCCAATCAGAGCTCGGGGTCTTTCAGACGTCAATACAATTCCTGCAAAAGAAGCAGACGAACTTGCGCCCCGCATTGATATTTTGAGAAAATAGCTTATCTTCTGAATAAGCTAATGGTTAGTTCTGAAACTTCAGCATCTGGCTCGGGCCTCTACGGATACATTTGAACGGAGGCTGAGCGTTATGGAATGCACCGTTTATTAAAAAGAAAAAAGAAAACTGTAAATATTCTTGGGCCGCGCCGTATTGTCACTGAGAGGATAAGAACGGCAAGGAAGTTTCTTAATAGCCCCACCCTCAGCGGGAGCTGCCTGCCTTCGATCATGCTTCGGGTGTCTAGTGAGCCTCGAGCCTGCACGCGCAGCAGAAGCACAGCGGAAGGCAACGAGCGCGCGCGCTGGAGGCAGGACGTTGGAAGGACGCGCACTGCCCTCCTCATCCTGTCCGTGATATTGCCGCGCCCAGGGCTGAGAAAGCAACGCTCGGTCACGGACCTCTAGAAAGTTCTCGTTTATTCATGTACCGCACGTAACTTCTATCATTTATTCCTGCTTTTGTTTTCTAGAAAGTGCGTGTTCATTCTCACCCGATCGCGACAATATTCGCGACAATATTATACAGGCTGTCACAAAAAATTAAAAAAATACATGTTCTTTTTTAGCGCAAAAATGAACTCGGGATCGCCGAACGCTCATTTTCCGCCCAAAGGTAGCGCTAGAGGTCACAACCAGATGCCAAAGTTCCAGCCCGATGCGATACCTAGCTTATTCAAAAATTATAAGAGATTTTCTGAAACTTTCAATGGGAAAATGGCGGCCGACAGAGTTTTGGAATACACAGGGCTCTATGGCACCAGAAACCGAAAACGGGCAAAATAGGCTCCATTTTCTCATTGAAATTTTTAGAAAATCACATAACTTTCGAATAAGGTATCGGATCGGGCTGGAACTTTGGCATCTGGTTGTGACCTCTAGCGCTACCTTTGGGCAGAGAATGAGCGTTCGGCAATGCCTAGTTTATTGTTGCGGTGAAAAGACCCTGTTAATTTTGTTTTGTGACACCCTGTAGATCCACGCGGCAGCGCCTACATATCTTACGTTTTCGTCGCCGCGGGCGTCTTCCAGCGTCTCGGAGCAATACCGTCTAAAAGCGAGGCATGCTCTTTACGTCATCGCGCTTTTGATCCCCGACCCGGCCAAAGTGGCAAGCACGCTGAAGCTCGATCAGAGTACGCTGCAATGCGGCAGACGTGCGTGTTTCGGCGTCGCCGTGTGCTAGCGTTGCGTGCTAGCGTTGCGTGTCCTGAGACGATGCAAGACGCGCTGGCAGCGACGCTGGTGCAAGCTGTTGGAGGAGGTGCTGCGCGGATATACTACAGACCTATTTCGAAAGTCACGTTCCGATTATTAGAAGGTCGGAATAACTGCACATTGGTGGATCAACTGACGTCGTGAAACGTGCGAGTCATTTTATAAGATAACGAACGTCCTAGCGTGGCCAACACTAGGGGCCGACGAGGCAGTGAAACAGCGTCGGATGTGCAACGACACTGCGCTCATCACCTTTTTCTAGAGCCAGTGGCAAATGCGCCCTGTGTGCGGGCGCTATTGGCTTTCACGTTCCCCCCTAATTTCCCTTTTACAACGCCCTCACATACACACACACTTACCCTTTTCTGTGGGTGTGTTTCAGAGCGCACCTCTTAGGCGTCCATTTCCAAGTTGAGCGTCGGCGTCGGCGTAACCGCGCGTGTTGCATTATGGGACGTTACAGTTTCCCCGCTAAAATTAGCGGGGAAACTGAATTGGTGTTGAAGTGACGTAATGTCAATTTCCCCGCTAAATTAGTGGGGAAACTTAAAACGCTAAATGTAGCGGGGAAATTTTCACTTAATTTAGAGGGAAATTTCGCAAAAAATTCCGCTAAATCAGAGGGGAGGCGAAGGAGGGCACACCCTCCCCTCCGTACCCTCCCCTCCTCCTCCTCAGAAACTGCGCTCTAGTTCGGCTGTAAACTGTAAACGTCTTTCATTTTTGCCTTCTAACCCAACCGAACGGATGAAGTGTGCCGTTACGGTGCAGTTTTAGTTCTCCATTGTGCAGAGATTTCACAGCTACCAAGATAAGGCAGTCTTTCGAGATGGCAGTATTGCCCCATTATGATAGGTTCCCCTTCTGTACTTCAACGTTCAATTCTTCAATTGTTACTGAGAACCATTATTGACTTTTGAAAGGAATGTATTCTGAAAGCTCTCGAGTGCAACTCGCTCGGATGGAATGCAAATTTTGTGCTAAATTTGTGGAACGTTTCATTGACCATCAGTGAAATCTTATGGAGAGATGTTTACCCCACTGTCACCAAACTGTCAGACACCATCGATGCCTGGCTGCACAAAAGTCTGCTTCGGTGATTTCCCGAGTAAGGGCAGCGCATAAGCTTCAAAAAGGAAACAATGGATGGAATTTATATCAAGACAACGTAGAAAAAGAACGAAACTCAGGGATATATGGAACGTAGTCAGGAACATAGTTGCCCCGCAAAAGCGGTTCTTTAAAAAAAAAAAAAAAAAAAAAAGGCAACGCCTAATTGGGGACAAACTCCGATGGTTCGGAGCAACAACTTGCAATAACGTTGGCATCAGAACTTCTTACAAACCTAAATCGTCTAAGCTAATAATCTTGAGTTGTCTAGCGTGATAACCTTGAGAAGAATTGCGAGTTGGAAGTTTTTTAATACAAAAAAATGAAGTTAAACACGCCAAGCTTAAACGAAGGACGGAATCCCACGCAGGTACGTTCGGCTGCCTGTACGGCCGCCTCGAGCTCCGTCGCCGGGCGGGCTACTACCTGATCAACAAGTACGCCCCGAGCACGCTGATCGTGGCGATGTCCTTCGTATCCTTCTGGATGCCCCACGAGGCGGTCCCGGCACGCGTCACCCTCAGCGTCACCTCCCTACTCACCATAGTGACTCAACAATACCAGTCTGCCACCCCGGGCGTCTCGTACGTCGTGGCGCTCAACGTTTGGATGATCGCCTGCATCACCTTCGTCTTCTTGGGCCTCGTCGAGTATGCGCTCGTCGTGGCCTGCATCGCCAAGAACAAGGCGCGCGAGGCCGGCAGGGACTCCTGGTGGCCTCGACCCGTCCTGGTGGACAGGTGCTGCAGGCTCATCTTCCCCGCAGCCTTCATTCTGCATGGCCTCATCTACTGGGGCGTCTACGGACGACACTAGTGGGCCGACCGCAGACGCCTCTTCTGGGCGGGACAGTATTCAGCGGGTTAAGAACTGTCCTAGCAGGACACGTTTTCTGCAGTCACCGCACCTGATGTACCGAAAGTGGGGGATTATCTTCCGTTTCCATCCGCTATTGCACGCTGTTTTTGCCGGGAGGTTTGTGTTTGTCCTTCGTCGCCTTGTTTCCCTCTTCAGGGTTTATTATTGTTTGGGAAGCTACCCTCCACTTGCGTCCTTGGACGAAGTCTTAAAGCGTGCTCATCACGTTGGTCCGGAGAGCCATTCACACGCTCTGCTGACTTTAAAGGCCTCCGCTAGTGTCGATCTCCGATTCCCCCCCCCCCCCCCCCCCAAAAAAAAAAAAAAAAGTTGAAAAGACGACAGCGAAGAGGCGAGGAGGAAAATCGTGCTGTTTTTGTGGTTGATGTCCAAACTGAACGCGAAAGTGCGCGCCCCAACTTTCACGGTGTTTGCAAAAGTGTACTCTTTTTTTTTTTCCGTAATTACATTTCCTATGTCCTGTTGGGCACCCATTTATGGGGAGGGTTGTAAACAATCTGACTTGAAGCGTAAACGTAACAGAAGCTACAGGAGCGAGATTCGGGCTTTCAAATATCCCTGCCCGGCTCGCGCGCGCTCGTGCAGTGCAAGGAGTGTTCAGGCACGACCGCTAGATTTTGGCTCCCGCTCCACTGGGAACGGCCTGCTGGCTCTTTTCCCCGGGAAAAACTAAAATTGTCGGAACGGCCGCAGTGAGTGGTATTGAGCCCTGTGGCGCTGACCAGTGGCTACGGCTAGAGTTCCTCGATATGCTCCCCCCAAGGGAGATCAGAGTAGCACCATTGTTTTTCCACGCCGCCACGCCGCTTTTCGCCGAGATCGATCACGTGAGGAGCAAAGCATCCAGCGTCGTGCAAGAAAGCCACCGCTACGGTTGCTCCGCCGACGTTGCACGCGCCCTGACGTACGTTCCCCTGCTTTCGCCTCCTTTCCCCCCTTTTCTGTTTTCCATGGGCGGCAGTGCGCGAGGCGCCGCTATTCGCCAAATTCAGTCACGTGACGAGCAAAGCATCCAGGGCCGTGCAGGAAAGCCGATGGCACGGCCACCCGCCGAGTCTGTGTACGCAACTCTGCTATCGTAGGTAGCTATATACAGGAACTCTTGCTACGGCAGTCGACGGCGAACGCGCGGAAGCGCCGCGAGTTCCGAGCAACGCAAAAGTATTGCTCGTGTCCGCTGAGCCACGCCTCCGGCGACGAACTCGGTAGAATCAGCTGGATCGATGTTACTATGAATCTCGTGGAAAGAAGGTAGGCAGTCGCAAAGCGGCAGTGATCAAGCGGTTGTGGTTTAGGGCAATATATTTGTGCTTGTTGCTTCAGCTTCACTGGCACATGAAGGGTAACAAAGTGCAGAGAGAAGTAGGGTACCTTTTTGCCGACGCTCGATCCGGAATGCAGTGGGGAGTATGCTTTTTTCGCTTGTCTCTGAAGCCTGCTCATACTCATTTGGTCTCCTTTGATCGTATTCGGATCGACTGTCAGCCAGAAGGGCCCTTGAAGTTTCTTGAAACGTGTTCATAGTCTAAAATGTGGGCGAAGCGTGAAACAAGCTAAAAAGTTTGATAGCTCGAGTGGGATCTTGCGGACACGTCCATCTGTGACGTACTAGGCTGGTGCAAGGGTATACATACCACCTTTTAAACCGTTCTCTGTAGACGCGTCTACAGTGTATGTGTGCGGTGGGAATTTCTGCGAAGCGCACAGATGCGCGAGCACGGAGACTGCCCACATAATGGCATATTTTCTCTCGAGGTTCTTCGATTGAATTGTGTGTGCCAAGCAACGTTACTGAAAGCCTCAGTCGGGAAACTCGCCTTTGAAACCTGGGTCGCTGGCGTCCACCGAGACCGAGATAAATACGATAACAGCACCACCCTTTAGTGACGAGTTGAAACATGAAAGCTGTTTTACATTGCTACTGCGAGATGGCCCTGCGAGATGGCGCCCCCGGCCCTTGCACGGCCCAACGTGCAGCCGTGCAGTTCCCGGAGTGGACGCTACGGGAGAAATGGCGGCGTTGCGATCGCCATTAGCTCGGTTCTCGAGTACGAATCGGAGCCACTTTTTTAAAGCAGGTTCTGTGGCAGTTTCCCAACTGAGGGGTTCTAGTAACGTTGGTGCCACTGCCAACTGACTTACTCGTTTTATTACAGCGAAGCAGTATATTAATGACAGGTCGGATTTCGGGAATCTTTTCGTGTCGTCATCGTCACGAGAAAAAAAAAAATCTTCTGCGATTGAAGCGAGACGTGCATATCACGCATACAACGTGCAGCACAGCATTTATTTCACTAAAGAAGCAAAAAACACGCATCCGAACCAGATAATTGATGATAAGGCGCTCCTGATCACAATGCTACACACGTAGCGCTCACCGCATGCGTTTCGTGGTAAATATTACTCTTGCGCAAGCTGCCGCGGCAACGGCAGCTTGCGGCGTGGGGAGTGACATCAACAGCCTTTCATACATAGCAAGTTTTGGTACAGTGCATTTACTTTTCTTTTGTGAATCATTTGATATCGGTCGCGTCCTCATCTCACTGCCCTGACGTCATTACCTTGCGAAGAGCAAGTTCTATGATGTATGTAATGAACATGGTGAAAGCTTGAAATCGTTGCGCTCTGAAACTAACACAGCCAACACCTTCAAAAATGAAGTTCTTACATTACTCTCATTTCCGTCCACGAGAAATACTTTGCTGACGTCATAGTCAGCATTCTGTCAATCGTGGAACGCCGACCACGGCGACATTTTCGATCCCGCACGTCGCTAATATATATTATTTTGCTGGTTACAAACATGAACTGCCGCTTACGTCCCAAGCGACTTCTGGTCACTCCCTCTTTGCAAGCTTGTTGAGCCTGCTTATGTCGCCAGTGCTAGAAAGCATAAATGCTACACAGACAACTAAGTTGGACATTTAACGAGAGCCTTCGGCTGTAAAATATTACATCTCGGAGGAGGCAAGTGGGGTTACAAGAATACTCGGAACATTTTAACAGATCTCGCACTCCTTGGTTCATTTCGCGTTCACCTGGAGAATTGGTGGTTAAACGTTTTATCATTTTATAAACCAGAAGTTCTCTGGGAAATTCAAAACTGGAGCACAACCTGGTGACGTTTGCGTTAAAAGGGTCTCTATTGCAGTGGGCAGTCGTTGCAGGTGCTACCACAGGTTCGTTGTCCAAACGCCTTCACAGCGTAAATTGGAGCCCCAACTTTTTTTTTTTAATTATTATTTCCTATGCACGTTCGTTCTGACGTGTGGTGGTTACGTAAATGCACGTTGGATGGGAAGAGTGTGTGGAATTTATTCCGAATTACTTTCGCAGCTTGATGTCTTGACAGAGTTCTGTGTGTTTTTGTGCTGTCCCGAACAAACGGCACTTCATATTTTGACAACTTCGTGCTTTGCTCACTTACTTCTGCCACGACTCTCTGAAAAATCACGAGAGTAGTTTAAGGTATACCTCTATTTATTCACGATCGCAAACATCTGTTGCTACTGGCAGCTAAAATAACGAGTTATGAAAGTAGTTCTGAAATAAAATTTGCGTGGTCCTCTTACTTGTTTAAACGTTTAGCCATATTTGCATCCTAAACTCTCCTTGAATCAGACTCTTTCATAATATGCTTGGAGAAAGGTCTGAGCGTTAGAGTACTTAAATATTAATATCATTAAAGGTAGCGAGACGTGGTTAAACATATATTCGCTAACATCACTGTCAGAACTGTTTTTCTGTGATTTACACATGCATACATTTATGAAAATAAGACAAAAAGGTAGATAGTGATATCAACGTAGACGATTTGGTTCGGGTCTACGAATGTGTTCTGTGTCTTTCTCTTGAGTGACCGCGATGCACATTGTGATTTTTATGTTTCTGTGATATTGCAGCCTTTCTCATTGGTGTGATCTAGAGCCACTAAATAAGTGTGACTTTAGCATTTGCACCATAGTTTGTGAACTACACAGTCACAAAAGCGAATCCTTTATATACTCTGCTCACTTTTAAACAACACTGGAGTGGATACTTTTACTCGGAACAAGGGTATATGCTCAACAAGATTGTGCCAGGCGACTAGGCCGAAATGACCCTGAAGGAAAAAGTAATGGAGGTGAAAAAGTCCTGGGGGAATTTATATATATATACAGCCGTGCTCCATTGTTTCCGTCATTGAAGGAGCTAATGTCACAGGGTCATAGGAAGGTGTCGCCATTGCCTTCCCTGCCTGCTTACAAAACACAGCCGCGGAAATACACACAACCAAAACCTCGCAAGGCGAGTGGGTGATCGATATATATATTGCCATAAAAATCCCCCTTTCGGTCCTTTCAAATATTCGAAGCTGCAGAAGCTGCAAACAAGTCATTCTGAACCAGCCGCGCCAAGATCGCCACGGAGCGTCATGGTGCTGAAATCCTTCCTCGGCAAATTAACAGTCTTTGACATTGTGTATGCAATCAAGTTATCGTTCATGCTGATCTCTACAGATCTTCTTGCTTATTTCAAGACAGAAAAAAATATTTTTACGCTGCCAAGCACCGACGCCGCATATTTTGACGGTACGAAGGTCACAGCTGTTTTTCTTATCCACTCACCTACACTCGCCGGTGTGTGTATAGCAAAAGCTGGGTATGCAAGAAACATCTTCTTAATGCAACCTGCCACCGAGAATTTGAATCGGCTCAGCAAGAATGGAGAGGAGAACGAAAAACTACTTACTTCATGGAACAAAGTGTCGACAATACGCGCTACTTTTTTACCTTCCTGAGATCCAGTGACCTTAGAAAGATCCACTCACCATACTTCCGAGAGTTACGAAAACAATAACATCCGCCCACTTAGAAATTCTAATTGTCGAGACGCCACCCAGTGGCCAACTCAGAGCGGAAATGGTGGGAGGGTCGCGCGACCTAGCGATTGAAGTT